AAATTATTAAACAGATTAATTAGCCCTCTGAGCAGTTCTGAAAACTGTATTTTTCCACATCTACTGTACTAACGAGCAAAAAGAAACTAATAGATTTCCCACCTGTTGCTCTAATCTAGGGGTCTCAAACTCGTGGCCCGGGGGCCACTTGTGGCCCATGTCACCCCTGCTTGTGGCCTGTATATTGACGTAAAGAAATCTAATGAAATTTAGCCCTTGAACCTTTTTTTGTTAGCGAGGATTTGTTTGTTGTTAAGTACAATGTTAAATTAGTTCTTTAAAAAGCAAAAAATGATTTAATATGAAAACAATATGAGCAGAGAGCACTTAAATGTTGAGGGATTGGCTCTGTTAGTTCAGAGAGAGAGTTATTTGTAAACAAAACACTTATAACTTATTTTTATTCTGTTAAATACGAATGAACTTATAACAAGTGCTGCCACATGTCTGGCCAGTAGGAGACTTCCAGTGTTTTTATTTGGTAGTTCAGTGAAAAGCTTCAGTTAGAAGTGAGAAGAAACAAAGATTGCGTTCACGTTTGCAATTTTGTCTTGTTATACAATATTTGAAATTTATAAAAACAAAACAACATTTTTGAAAATATTTGAGGGTGTTTTCTTGTTTGTTTTGTCCTACTTTACGTTTGAGACCCCTGCTCTAATTGAAGACACCTTCTAAATGAAAGTAGTCACCGACTATGAAGACTTGCTGAGGTTCTTTCAGACTTTTGACCAGCTAGTGCCTTGGTTATGGTTATTGGCTGTTACAGTGAGCCTATTTTCAGTTCATGTGGCTCCGGCTAGAAGATTAAAGAGGCAGAGTGAAGGGACTGAAGAGAGGAGAAGAGAGACCGGGGCTGACCACTGTAGGAGATAGAAATAAATAACAACAAAAAGTCAGGAGAGGTAGGAGAGCAGAGTCAGGCTGTTCCCCACTCCGCACCCAGCCTGGGAGCCTTGACTCAATTGGAAATCCATTTTATCTGATGACTGGCAGGCAATTGGGGCTCCCAGGTGAGGCTCTGCGGTTGATAGGCCTGACCACTCCACTGCTGAGGGACAGAGGGATGAAGATGGAGGGGAAGGTGGAGGAGAACACGTACTAGATTGGCTCCACTAACAAAGTTCATTTTAGGCAACCTAGATCATCACTTGGCCTCCACTTCTATCAAAAACAAGAAGTGGGAGGGGAGCTACTAAGTATTTTCACTTAGTGGAAAAAAACCCTCCAAAGATATAAGGCCGAGGAAAGCAGCAAGCCATCTGAAAAACAAGACAAAGATTCCAGTGTTTTCTTGATAAATGACGAAAAAAAGAGAAAGCAACTGCTAAAAAAGTGAATTCAAATTTTATGTTGACAAACCTCATCTGTAATTATATGCCCCGCAAGAGAGGGAAGGATGTTTTGTAATGAGTTGGGAGACATTAAATTAAGTCAGGAAATAAGTGACCCTCTCTTTAGAAGAGAGGGTCACTGCAAATCAATGTGTTGTTGTGAATTATTCTGATTGATCCAAGATTTCTATCCTGATATGACTACTGAACTGAAAATCAGCAGGAAG